TGTATCTCTAAAGTAAAACATAACTGAAATATAACATCAGAAAATGTCTTCCATAAGACATTTAATGATTCTAATATGGCTCCGTGAAAAAACCTTTGGGGATCATGCTATGACAAATAGCTTTTCATGGCATCCACATAGACAATTCTGAGCTAAAGATACATCACAATTAAACTTTCCTTCAGATGTAACATCCTTTTGCAAACATAAAAAATCTTTTTCAATGTTGTGAATTAACACCTGAGTGAATAAAAATGCAAAAGAATAAAGAGCATTTAATGGAGTTGGAAGGCAAAAGGCCAGAAAATATGATATGAATTGTCTGTGCGACCTGGAATATGGTCACCAGGGAGGTGAAAGAGTGGGCCTATGGGTCACACTCAGTCAATGAATGACATCGGAACTTAGAAAATTTTGGCAGGACAGTGGAGGGGTCAAATGCACTCATCACACATGGAATCTTCTCTCATCACCCAGTTTGCTTAACCTGGGCCCCTCAACTTGGACAAAATGGCAGAGTTCCTACTTTAATGGGTATGTTAAAGACAGAATATATAGAGTGGAAATCCTGTTCCTGTTAGCATAACCCTGTTCACCTCACAAGATTCACAGTAAATATGGCAAGTTTCTGGGAAGCAGAAAATGCCAAAGTTATAGGGAAGCACAAGTATGACATGGAAAAGGGAAGAAACTGGGAAGAATGGAAGTTATGAAAATAAATAGATGGAACTTCATATGTGAGAATTATACAGACCAACATAATTGAAGAAAAAGGAGTAGACTTTCAAAAGAAAGTGAGCCAATGAATATCAAGAGGGAAAAAGGCAGATAATGCTAAAGACGTCACGTTGTTTTTAAAGGTTTGGCAATAGAGTTGGCCTGGTGGTCAAATCCCTCTAGTTTTAACTACAACAATCAAGGCTTAACTAGAACAAGACTGTGCACAAAGACCACTAGGGGGTGCACCAAGAAAGCATAAAAAATGCGGAGACAAAAAAACATGACAGAAATGGAGGATATAGAGCTAAAAAACGCAATTTTGAGGGCTTGCAAAAATGTGCTAGAAGCTGTCAATAAACTTGAGGAGAGAGTCACGAAAACTAATGAGACCCTCGATGCTATGATAAAGAAACAACTAGAAATTAAGCATACACGGTCGGAAATAAAGAATATTACACCCAATAGCAGACCAGAGGAGCCCAAGAATCAAGCCAAAGATTTGAAATGCGAAGAAGCAAAAAACACCCAACCGGAAAAGCAAAATGAAAAAAGAATCCGAAAATACGAAGATAGTGTAAGGAGCCTCTGGGACAGCTTCAAGCGTACAAACATCAGAATAATAGGGGTGCCAGAAGATGAGAGACAGCAAGATATTGAAAACCTATTTGAAGAAATAATGGCAGAAAACTTCCCCCACCTGGTGAAAGAAATGGACTTACAGGTCCAAGAAGCGCAGAGAACCCCAAACAAAAGGAATCCAAAGAGGACCACACCAAGACACATCATAATTAAAATGCCAAGAGCAAAAGACAAAGAGAGAATCTTAAAAGCAGCAAGAGAAAGAGACTCAATTACCTACAAGGGAATACCCATACGACTGTCAGCTGATTTCTCAACAGAAACTTTGCAGGCCAGAAGGGAATGGCAAGAAATATTCAAAGTGCTGAATACCAAGAACCTACAACCAAGAATACTTTATCCAGCAAAGCTATCATTCAGAATTGAAGGTCAGATAAAGAGCTTCACAGATAAGGAAAAGCTAAAGGAGTTCATCACCACTAAACCAGTATTATACGAAATGCTGAAAGGTATCCTTTAAGAAGAGGAAGAAGAAAAAGGTAAAGATACAAATTGTGAACAACAAACATGCATCTATCAACAAGTGAATCTAAGAACCAAGTGAATAAATAATCTGATGTACAGAATGAACTGGTGATTATAATGAATCAGGGACATAGAAAGGGAATGGACTGACTATTCTTGGGGGGGAAAGGGGAATGGGAGATGCGGGAAGAAACTGGACAAAAATCGTGCACCTATGGATGAAGACAGTGGGTGGGGAGTGAGGGCGGAGGGTGGGGTGGGAACTGGGAGGAGGGGAGTTATGGAGGGGATTGCCCCCCTCAACCCTTCTTCCACCGCCTCACACCCAGGTCTGCAAGACACTATTGTCTGTGTCCATGGGCTATGCATATATGCATTTAAGTGCTTTGGTGAATCATTCCATCCTACCAGTCCTCCCGCACCCACCGCCATGGCTCTGAGAAATGTCAGTCTGTTCCATGCTTTCCTGTCTCTGTGAGGTTTTGTTTGCCTTGTGTGCTCTTTTGTGCTTTCAGTTTCGTTTCATATGTGTGAGTGAAATCATATGGTTCTTGGCTATGTCTGCTCAGCATGATATTCTCAAGATCCATCCCTGTTGCCCCAAATGGCAGTATTTCATCTCCCAAGATACATATTAATGGCTAACAGGTATTTGAAAAGGTCCTGTACTGCACTAGCTTTTAGGGAAATGCTAATCAAAACTAAAAGGAGACACCACCTCACACCTGTTAGAATGGCTGTTATCAACAAGACTAGTAATAACAAGTGTTGGAGAGGTTGTGGAGGAAACGGAAGCCTCATTTACTGCTGTTGGGAATGTAAACTGGTACAACCACTGTGGGAAACAGTATGGAGGTTCCTCAAACATGAAGGTTAGAGATCCCATATGACCAATAACACCTTCTATGGATACCTATGCCCCACAATCTGAAAAATATTTATTCCTAATGATATCTGCACTACTATGTTCACTGTAGCATTAGTCACAGTGGACAAGACATAGAAGCAAGCCAAGTGTCCTTCTATACATGCTTGGATAAAGAAAAAGGGGTACCTATATACAATGGAATACTACTCCCCCATAAGAATAAGGTCTTTATTTTAAGAAGATCTCTGGTTGCATCCAAATATATATATAGTCAAATCTTCTATTGTGGGAGCTGGCCATATAAAACTGCCAAAAACAGTGATTCATAGACCCTTGAACTACTGCTCCTATTGGTTATGAAGATTAGGTTAATGGATACCTCTATCCCCAATGTTTTGTCAACTGGTTCATATATAACATTATTGTATGTGAGCCTGATTTTAACTCATGCCTGAATAAAGGTTATCCTAAGAAATTCAGAAGGAAGGGAGATGAAGTATTAAATGGCATTAATGGCTGGTCAGGGAATGAGTATGGTGAGTGGTCTACATTGTTTGGCCTGGAGTGGGCTATGGTGTTGGCCGTCTTCATTGTATGGTCTGATGCTCTATTGCACAAAACTTTAACATCAGACATTATAAAATTGCAAAATTTTACAGTAAAGTAATTACTAAAATTTTCTTGTCCAAAAGGAAATATTTCCATACACTGCAAGGACAGAACTGTCAGAGAAATAATAATGGGGAAACTGAGTAACAAATGAAGATGGTAAACTTATGTTGAAATCTTAACAATACATGAAAAAATGATGTACATGAGTATGGTGTAGTAAGGAAGATGATCCCTGAGAGTTGAAAACAAATGCAAAATAAACACATGAAACCGAGTAAGTGCAAAGTGAAATACATTCATGGGACTTGCCTTTATCCTGGTCACCCTTATCTGAAAAATGAAAGAAAGAAAAAACAGTTCAAACATAATGTAGGGTCAATGTCAGGAAGAGAAGAGGACGCTAATGTGAAACCCTTCTGCTGTTTATTCTTTAATGGAAACTGACCCACATTTCTAAGAAGTGGAATCAAAGGATCCTAAGTCCATGTAACAAATGAGAGCCAGTGTCACCCTCCATCTCCATACCCATTTGTTCAAAAGGAATGAGATGGGAAATGAAAGTATGACAGACCTAAAGGAGAACTTCCTCTGGGATAAACAATATCAATCTTTGGTCTTGCTTTGGAACTTCCACTTTTTAAGATTAAAATGGATAAAGTGCACATACCTGGGACAGGTACTTAATGTGTGATGCAGAAGCCTGTATATAGTAAGTACCCTGCTCTCAACACCTGTATCTATAACAGTAATAACATGAATCCTGCTTATGAACATAAGGAGCTCTCTTCCCAAATTCCATTGTGTCTCTAAACTAAAACATACTTGAAATATAACATTAGAAAAAAAGGACATAAAACGTTTAATGATTCTATCAGGGCTCCATGCAAAAACCTTTGGGGATCATGCTCTGACAAACAGCTTCTCATGTCTTCCACACAGACAATTCTGAGCTAAAGATACATCACACATCAACTTTCCTTCAGATGTAACATACTTTTTCAAATATACAATAATATCTTTTGCAATGTTGTGAATTAATACCTGAGTGAATAAAAATGCAAAAAATAAAGAACATTTAATGTAATTGAAAAGAAAAAGGCCAGAAAATATTGCATAAATTATCTGTGCAATGGGTAATATGGTCAGTGAGGAGGTGAAATAGTGGGCCTTAAAGTCACACTTTGTCAATGAATGACATCAGAACCTAGAAAATGTTCCCAGGACAGTGGAGGGGTCAAATGCATTCATCGCATATGGAATCTTCTCTCATCGCTCAGTTTGCTTAAGATGGACCCCTCAACTTGTAAAAAATGGCAGAGGTCCTACTCTAATGGGTATTTTACATACAGAATATATAGAGTGGAAATCCTGTGCCTGTTAGCACAATCCTCTTCACCTCACAAGATTCAGAGTAAATATGGCAAGTTTCTGGGAAGCAGAAAATGCCAAAGTTTATAGGGAAGGACAGGTATGACATGGAAAAGGAAAGAAACTGGGAAAGATTGAAGTTATGAAAATAAATAGATGGAACTTCATATGTGAGAAGTATACAGACCAAACTAATTTAGGAAAAAGGAGTAGACTTCCAAAAGAAAGGTGAGCCAATGAATGTCAAGAGGGGAAAAGGCAGATAATGCTAAAGACATCAGATTGTTTTTAAAGATTTGGCAATAAAGGATTGTCAGAAATAACTTACCAATTTTTTCCTGAAGATTTTCTGAAAAATAAAAGTAAAATTGTAAATATCATGGGAAACAAATATGAATAAAATTCAATTTCTTCTACAACATGCACGCAACATCAAACCTGTTGTGTTTCAGAGGAACACACAACACACACAATAAGAAACAGTGGCTGAAAGCTCTCATTTGCTCAGAGGCAATTGTTCCAAAATCAAAGGGAGGATAGGTCTAAATATAGTGAATTAAGCAGAAAAATTTAGAAATACAGTTCTGTTAGTAACCTTATAAAAATATTCCTAATTCAATTTGAAGATTTTTTAATTTGGGGTGGGTGGTTTCTGGCTTTACTAGTTCTTCGCTACTAAGTATAATTTAGGGTGGGGCAAAAGTAAAGTTATAGTTGTTTGCTAAATAATATAATAATTAATAAATAAAAATAATAACAGATTAAATTCTGTGTTTCATGTACTCACAACTTTAACCTACTTTGGAACCTGCCTGCAGTCACATCTCATGATTTCAAAAGCCATGTTTATATTATAGTTGAACAATAGATTGACTTGGACAATATAGAAACAGGTTTTCTGGAGGAAATCTGTGTTAGGTTAGTAGGCATCTAGCAGAAGTGCAAAGCAATGAATTGGCCAATCAGTATCAAGGCAGGAAATGCTAGACACATCATGAAAGCAGTCATTTTAAAGTGTTTGGGAGTAAAGGGATATGAGAGAAAATTTACCCAATATCTTCAGAAGTTTGTCTGAAAAACGCAAAGCAAAAATTAATGTGAATTTTATGAAAAACACAAAACATTCAAAAATATTGAAAACTATGTATTTAAACTTAGGATGCAGATACAAAACCAATAATGTGCCCGTGCACACACACACACACACACAGACACACACATACACACACACACACACACACAAATATGGCTGAGAGTTCCCTTTAGAGGTCATTAAACTTGGAAAAATGAATGAATTCTATGAATTGAAGAAATTATCCAAAAATTAGTTCTGGCAATTACCTTAAAATTTTGTGTGATCCCTTTTGAGATTATTTAGTGTTTTATTATTAATATTGTACCAAAAATTGTTCTTTAAACTTTTTGTAAATTAAATTTATTGGGATGATGTTGCTTACTAAAATCATGTGGTACTAATAGTGCAGTGCTTTGATACATCACCTGGGTATCACAGTGTGGGCAGACCACAAAGTGAAATCTTATTCCTTCGCCATATATTTCACCTCCTTTATCCTGCAGTACCCACCCCTTCCCTCTGGTAACACCATACAGTTGTCTGTGTCTATGAGTTCTGTTTTGTTTTAGTCTTTATTGTGGAGAGCATTACAGATGTCCCTTTTTAACCTTATGGCCCCCCTCGACCCTTTTCCCACAGCCTCACTCCCAGGTCTTAAAGACACTGCTGTCTGTGTCCATGGGCTATGCATATGTGCATTTAAGTTCTTTGGTTAATCATTGCAGCCCACCTGCCTCCCCCAACGCCCCCCCCCCCACAA